CGCCCTATGCAAGTTAGTGTTGTCTACCACGCAGTTTGGAATGAATTTTTCTACATCGAGAGGTCACATCTAACTTCACGCTTATGAGAAATCAGTTGGAAATGATAAACCTATTTAGCTATCTTGGGCGTTGTTCCAGTTGAAGTACCTTGAAAGATGAAGTATTACTGCGGATCCACAGGGCCTACATCGTCTGTGGCTTCGACACGATCTGTCTTCCCAGAAAAAAAACAAATCTACAAAGCTACTGTAAACTTTAATGAACTATACGGCTTCAAGCGTTGGCTCGTTCACAAAGAGAACATAAGCGGACTAAATTTTTTTTAAACCCTTGTTTTCGTTAGATTGTTGGCAAAAGTGACTTAGTAAGGACGAAGTTCGCGGAGGAATCTTTTCTTCGATCAATTCTATTCTTCCGCTGAGTGACAAGATCTTGCTTCTAAGATATGGATACCTAGAACACGTGTTGCTCTTGCCGGTTGGACGACTCTACTGTCGTGTTATGTTTGCACAAGTTGACTCTAACTGGAATCTGCGGCCAGAACGACAGTGAATGAGAGAGAGAATGAAGGCGTACACTGAGTTGTAAAATGTTTATTGCAACGTTTCGATCCAAACTAGGACTCGTTGTCAAACGTAAACGTATATATATATATATATATGAATAGATAGTTAGATAGATAGATAGAAGCTGTGGAACAACTTAAGACCACAAAGCTGGAGAGAGGAGCTAATATTGCATGATGAACAACCATTTAGTGATGTCATAGACTATGCCATCAACAAGGGATCTATCAAAATAAAGTTCGTCAGCGTCTACAAAAACTCAGCAACAGAAAAAAAACACTCGACGCATTCGCTTTGCACGACCTTACAGGTGTAAATAGCGCAATTAGCCTGGAGACATAGAACCCCTTCTGGAAACCAAATACACAAATTTTGACAGAAAAAGACTTGTTTAACTTAGTGACCACCCCACATGTGAATTGTTGGGCAGAAGTAAGCGCAATCGAACTTGGTATTTACACAGTATACCCGTAAATTTATCCACCATTTATAGGGCTGATCAAGGATAATTTTGTCGCTTTTTATGACGTGTCACTAGGACTACCACATCGACTTAGAGACTGCGGTCAAGACTGTCCTACCTCGGGTATGAAACGACCAGTTCGAATCAGTCGAGGTATGTATGCGGTACGGTATGTATGCAGAGTTCGATTTCGCACTCTGTGTATTGACCATAGAGGTTCACCTTCTTCCCTCTCGCGATGTGCTTTTAGATTGTCAGTAGGCAGAAGTAACTAACATTCATTTACAGATGAGGGCGTGGAAAAGAAGTGTCAATCTATCGGCCTGTTAGCCTGCTCTCAGTTGCACTAAGGATTCTTGAGAGAGGGAAGAGATTGAGAGCACACATACTTACTATGTACCGGCATGGATTCATAAAAGAGATATTTTGCCTTACACCTCCCTTGGCATTGATTAATTGATAAGGACTGGTCATCCTCAGGACTTCACCTTCAAGCACATTCCTCAGCTCATCTAGTCAACTATACAGTTGGAAGTATTAGACTCGATTTTAGCTTTCATTAGAGCTCATCAGTAGTAGCGCTCATCCAGCGTCCCACTGTCCGGGATTTGAACTCCGAATCCATCGAATGGAACACGTGTGTGTTACCACTGTGCCAACCAGGTCATGGAGTTAACAGATAGTAAACTGTGTCTCTCTGGACATTCTTGAACGAGGTTAACGGTCAGTCTTGTTTATGGTGAAAGTGGATGTCTGTTGCATTAGACTCCCGGAAGGTCTTTAACTCCGCCAGCCACCGGTTCCTTTAAGCCCAGATTAGGGATGTGAATACAGAAGAATAAGAAGAGAAAGAAGGTGAAACGTTGGATTGAGATTTATCTTGACAAACAAAATGGATGGAAGGCACCAAGTAGGGGACAGAAGATACTTCCAGTGGTGTGCCGAAGGGTTCAGTTTGGGGTTCCTGATATAAATAACCCAGTGGCGTAAATAAGCGTTCAACTTCCGCTCAAAATGTTCTCCGATGACTGCAAAGAGATATTGCAGTAATGCTATACCAGAGAATTTGAAAGGGGTCTACCAATGGGCAACGGAATGAGAAATATCAATGAAATATCAATCTCCCTTATTAGTCTGAAATTCTAGTGAAAAAGTGGTCTACAACTGAGTGAAGAGTAAGATCTTGATAAAATGGCACAAACTCAAATGACTGATCTACCGGGTAGTGAACTTAGGTGACCCTCCATACTGTACCGTAGGCCATTGTTGATAAGTAGTATCAGCTGTCAAATCGTTGCGAGCATTCCGAGAAGCTCAAAAGCGGAAAAATCTTAACAGTATCTTTTCTAAAGTCACATGTCATGCAACCTGATCTGTTCAGATGTGACCCGGATAAGCTACGTAGTGAGGTCCTGAAGGCCACAGCGATAGTAGATTTCACATACAAGTGATTGGGTCGGACGCATTGAATGCGTGAACCACACTGCATGGATGTATTAATGAAAGAAAATTGTGGGAAGAAAGTTGAAAAGCAGCTCTCCTAGAACAGGTGTTGCATTCCCTATCAAACTGGTAGAAGCAAACACAAAGGTGAAGTTAGAAAAAACTACAGGATATTTACCGGAAAATCAATCGCCCAGGTTGGTTTATGTAATGTATTTTCCAGCACTATTCTTCTTTCTCATGCATACCGTTGCAATTTTCCTGTATCATCATATCCTTCGTAGCATATTGTATATTCCACACACACACTTCTGTGTCTAGACTGGATGTCAAACAAACCACGCTAAACTAGTATTTGTAACAAAGGAATCAGTTTATGATGAGCTGGCTCATAAGCAGAATACTGCTAAGTTGACCAAACTAAAAACGGCTGATTTTGGTGATTGTAGTGTTGGTGGTGCCGGGGGTGTGAATTCACAACTGGAGCCTTTGACTAGGCAGCATGTTAAAAACAAAACAGTACGGCGGTATTTAAAAAAGTTATCCATTTTGGTTTCGGTGTCCAACTCGCCGGATCAGATGTCCTTGGGACTGAATGAGCTGCTGCTCGAGACGCTCGGTATATTGCGATCAGTTCAATCATCCCGGTGACCGGTGTAACAAGTATGCAGATGCGTATCCGGTTCATACAACTATTCTTGGTTTGACATCGCTACTCCGTTGCATTACCTACCGTCCAATCGGCGAGAAGCGGACAACAAATATCATCTCTTGTGTTTGGACCGTTGATATTGTAAATGCACGTCTGGAGCACAATTGTACGTGGGAATCATATCCATTAGTGAAGAGCGAATATAATCACGAAACCCATCTAATACTATCACATCCTCCGAAATTCTCAGTATGGTTAGGGGGGTGGGTGTCCAGGGTTGTGACTGATCACCCTTCCCTTGTACCTGGTGAAATGATCCCATACAATCAAGCGTTTCAAATAGCCTCTACTGAGGCTGAGCGCTGCCTTCTCGTGGGTCGGAGGCGTTTTCGTACCAAAGTGAAGGGACAAATAACCGACATACGGAGNTACGGAGCTATTGTCGGGTTGAGGGATCAATGGTAGTTCAAGGGCAAAAGACCCGTATTTTCAAATCAACCAAGAAGAGGTGTACAAACCATAGCCACAACTTTCCGGTTGCGGGCAGTGATTATTGGCTGATTTGGACTTCAAGATGTATTGTTCACTTCGGACGTTTCACTCCATCCAAAAGGGATATGATCTGAAGAACTGGACACCGGCTCCCAACGGATTGCGGTTTTCGCACACCACACCGCTGCCTTGCGGGTCAGGCTATGGCTAACCGAAGTCTCCGATTGTGGATTCCCTAAGAAAACTCACCTGTCTTAGCCTGGGCAACCTGGCGGTGTTCAGCCCACACGCAAATCGTGGAAGATTTTTATTCTTATAAAGATAAAGGTGTGTGGTAACAGACTGTTGGCCAGTCAAATCATAAAATAACTTTCCGTGCCTGCACCATCGGTTCTGAGTTTAAGCCATACTTTCCAGAGATTCAAACGAACGATGTTCATCACTCCATGAGTCTCGGATAATAGGCACTCTAGAAGAAACAACTCATACCCCGAAAGCCAACCGATAGAATGACCTCCACGATGCTTCTTCCAGCCGTTTGAAGGAATTGTCGTCAGTTTTTTTTTGAATACGGAATACAATAGGCAAGCACGTGTACCATATGTACAAATTGTCTGGACGAGTTTAGTTCAGTTTAATTAGTCTGATTGCGTGGCTCCTGTCTGTACGTAATGCATTCCGTGTTTGGTTCAAATGACGAAGCTATCAAAAACAATCCAGTCTACCGATGACAGTGATATCTCAGTGGTCAAGGTCATAGCATTATCACCCACCCCCGGGAGGACAGTTGATTGAATCCCATCCACCCCCCACCACTGTCTGATTTTCCTTTCCCACCTGCCTGAAAATTGATTGTATCGTTGTATATTCCATGAATGGAAGTAAAAACAAATGGCAGGTGATTGAATATTCAGTGTTATTAACAAGCATCTACCCGGAGGGATCCCTAGAAAAAAAAACCCACACAGATTGTGACAATGCACATCCATTCAATTTAGAGTATGATCTAGCCTGACGGCATCACTGATTGCATGTGTATACAAAAGATTCTCAACGCGATGCAGTAATCGAAAATCAGGAAATTCTTTGTCGGTTACACACACCTCTGAAAACCTTTTCACTAGATTGTATTTAGCCCCCTCCCCCAGTTGTATTTACTTCCCTTATGTGTTCCAACTGAGATGTTTTTTCTTGATGTTTCAGTCTGTGCAACCAGTCACGTAATCACTTGGCATCTGTTTCGTTTCATCAAAAGTTTTATTGGTAATACTGTCCGACTCATCTGGGAGGGGGGATTATGCTCCCAACATCAGTTCTCTTGTTGCTTCTGAGTTGTGTGACCGGAGCCAACACCAACACACTGTCTCGACCCTATTTGTACAGAAATGCACTTTCCAAACTGGATTTGCTTTTCCGCAAACCGATGCAAAAAGCCTATCAGGAGTCTGTGCAAACAGTATTGGGAGAACTGCGAAATTCACCAATCACTTTGGGTAACATGGCAAATGATACCTCAAATTGTACCGCGAGCATATTTTCCATTTTGTTCAATTGGTTCCACTTCCGAGTTCAAAGTTTGGAATGTAAGTGTCAAGATTAATTTTGTAATATTACTCTTCTCCTCGTCCCTTCAAACACGCGAACACAGGGCTAGATTCTTTTGGCAGACCGGAACCAGCTATTCTTGGAGGAGCCATAAACTGGCCTGGTAGTTTTGACCTTTGTCTAGATGATGGTTATTGGAAACTGCTACAGACAAAGACGAAATACTGCACGCTCTTGTTGGCCATGAATGTATCGTCCGCACCGATGAACTTGGTATGATCATATCGGATTACAAGATTGGATCGGCATTTTTTCCCCTCCTCAAGCATGTAGGTCTGAATGTGGGTTCATGCCTTCCGCACTACTGCAATATCACGGAAGTCACATACATACTGAACAGAGGTAAGTCTCCCTCTCACTTGCTCACATTTCATCTTTTTAGTTTTGCCCACTCGTTCTATCCAGGCCGACAAAGATGGAACGTATTGTCACAGTTCACCGGAACCTTTACCCAAAGATGCCTGGTTTTGGGTTGCCATGTAAGTATACTCAATTCTGAATTAATTTCATGACGTACTTTTTATCTTGCATTTATTCAACTTGTGGCACGTAGCACAAAAGTATCCTTCATAGAACCGAGAAGCCTAATGATTTTCATGCAGGCGTTTAATGCCAGTTGATGATTACCGGTGGTCTAAACATTTCCGGTTTGCAATGATTTAACCTCGTACGTTAAATGCTCACGTTCTCGCACTATACCCTTCCCCGGGGTTTATTTGAGTTGTCCGAGGGAGAATGAAACAATTATATACAACGTGGACAGCGTAATAAACGCACAGAAATGCCTACCACTAGTGTAACGATGAGCGGCATCAGTCCCGGTTTGAAAACCAGACATTGTAACGAAAAACCCACTATTTATGCACACACACACACTGCCGTCTGGATGTTCGATAAACATTGAATCGTCCGAGTATTCAAATTGTATTTTTGAATTTTATTGGTGGGGTAAATTCCGATTTTTTCCGACCACGTTGGATAAGACATGTGATGGTCTCTTACTAGTCCGGTGTGAACCAACCATCAGTATCGACCCTCTTTATCCACTATAATACACATACTTAAAGAAAAAATATTTCCTGAGTATTTCTCATAAGCAGGTTTTAGTTTCATGTTTTACCACAATAAACCATGCACTTTCATGCGCCAGTTGTGGTTGCTGTCTTTCGGTGCCCCATTTGGATAAAAGAGCAGGATGAAGATTCGAATGTCCAAAGCAAATTCAAGCGGAAGATGGAGAATTCATATGGAATGGTGTGAGGGGAATAATGAGTGGATGCACGAGCGCCACTGTATCCGACACCCAGCCATATCGCTCAGTGTCTCTAACCCTCGTGTACGATCATCCCGAGGTCACCGGCCAGATAGGCTAGCGGGACCTATGTGACCCAGTACCCTGGTTAGGGTTTTCATACCCTCATACCAGGTCATAACTTGACCGCCCATGACCTTTTTCGAACCGCTACCTGCCTCGGCAAACATCACTCGCCGTGGCAATCTATCTGGTGACATGCGTAACACATGACCCAACCAACGTGACCTACCGAGGTTGACCACGTGCTCCAGTGGACGACTGCGACTGCCTAGAACTCTGCGTCTAACCTCATTCAGCATTGCTTGTCCGACTGCCCCACCAAACTCGTGCAATGCGCCGTAGACAGCGGTGTTGGAACACCGACAATCTATTTTTATTCTGTTCCCGTAGTGGTCAATTTTCTGCACCGTAGAGCAGCATTGGCTGAGCTGCTGCAGTACACATTCAACCCTTCGCAGACAGTCGGATGTTGCGACGTTATAACAGATGTCTCATATTTTGGCAAAAACCACTCGAGTCTTTTGTATACGTGACTAAACTCCATGCTTTTTGTGAGTTTCCAAATAATTTCAAAGTAACCTCACTTCCACACAGTCCAACAGTAGCGAATCTTCATCAATAAATTGCTCGACCATTTACCTTCCACGCGACTCCCACAATGTTTCTCTAATTAGATAACAATATTCTTGACATTTTCGTTGCATAACTCCGCATAAAATTCCTGATTGATGCGTTCCTTTCTGCTCGGTCCAAATACACTCTCCCACCCCGCATTACTTTCAGAGCACTGGCAACTCTTTGTCTGTCACTGCTGTTTTGTGGTACTCTACTCGAGTTGTTCGTCTGGTTTTGCTGGAAAAAAGACATGTACCGAGAGCGAGTTTTCCGGCAAATCGTGGATCAGTCAGCCTGTTCGGCACTGCTCTCCAACTCCGAACCGGACGAGGCCACAAGTTCCCAGTCCAGTTTGAACGCAGCGTTTGAGGAGGATAAAGTTTCCCCGGAATCCGGAAGTGGGGTGTTCGGTTTTCACTATTCCGAGTATCGAGAAGGTAATCATCAATCGTTCCAAGATGTCTTACTCTGCAGATTTTTATCAAATAGGTTCGCCATCTTGTCTAACGCTGGTTCATCGAGACTGCCATAACCGGTGGAGGATAAATAGTTGAATCAAGTAAATGAGCCAAATGGATGAGTTTTACATTTTGGCGTGTTCAGGAGTAATTAGACTGTAATCAAATTGGTCGTACTCTTAAAAATACTGAAAATATCTGATGACAAAAGTTATAATAAGATAATCACAAAACGATTTATATCATTAAATCTTGAACTAAATAAATCAACAGTGGTTGGGGATGGGAATACGTATTAACTATTAGTGTTTGGATTGAGATCCGTGTGAGTGATAGTGGTGGGACAAGTAAAGTTCTCCCACGGAGCGTGTAGACATGCACATGACATCAGAATCAATCAATCAATCAATCAATCGAGTTACCAAAGCCGTGTGTATGTAAATGTTGAACTGTATCGATTTGAAGCCTTAGAGCGGGAGTGGTCTGAAAGCAATCGCCGATCCCGGGGGGTAGAACTCAGGTCACAACGCTATCGGACACGGGCACGAGTGAATAGACGAAACTTATACACAGAAACAGCACGTTCATCAATTTCGATTGCATACACCGAGCAAAATGTGGTTCATAAGCATACAAAAATAGATTACAATGGTTTATCAGTATTTTCGCCCATCCAGTCATTCAAAGTCATCTTCTGATTGTGTCCTCTCTCTCTCTCGTTTTTCTACTGTTCCAACTCGCTGTCTTCAATTCTGTCACTGCAGACCGGGTTCGGGGGGGGGCCTGAACTAAAACATAGAGGCCAGTACACAGAGTGACAAATAGAGTACATATAGGATATTCACTTCCATTGACATGACAAGGTTTTATTCAATAAAAGAACACGAGGTTTTTTCCAATGCCTGAGCACCATTTTACGTTGCAGTATTCTTCAATCAGCAAAGTGACATAAAATCGCACTATTCAAATCTATCCCCCATCTGATGGGCTGTTGATAAAGTTTTCTTCTCTCTCTCTCACACACACACACATCGAAATCTACTATTGTATTGTATTGTATTGTATTGCATTGTACTGTAATGATTTGTGCAGACAACTGCGCTTACATTTCAGTGAAAAATCTATTCACCTTTACCAATAAATAAAAAAATGTAAATTTATATGAAACAGTGTTTTTGTAACAATGATAAAACTTAAACAGAAGGTCATCTTTGTATGTTTTTAAATTAGTTTGTTTAGGATCTTTGTCTTGTCAGTTACAATCTCAGCCAGATAAAGTACTGTTGAATTGTCATCGAGGTTAAGCAGCAGTAACTGTGGATCGGATTGTAGCGTGCGAACAGCAAGCAGACCAGATTGGGATTAAACGGATGACTGGACTTGTTGAGTATCATCTTATGGACGAACTCTCTCACATGAAGTAATATGAAAATCACACAATTTTGTGACTAGAATGTTGAAGTGAACGAGAGAAACATGACCAGTTATTATCAAATTGCGACGTGAAATTATGAAATTCTTTCTAAGTAATCCAGGGAAAATAACGGACAACAATAAAGTATGACAGAAAAAATGCATTGATAAACAAAGGAACATACAGTTTCATGCCTCACTCGAAATTGTCGTAGCTTACGTATCTGGATGGAGAAGCGATGCGGTCTACCACAACACAAGCAAACACATGAGAAGACCACCTTATATAGCTCTCTATGGTGACACTTAAACAGTTGGTAGAATGTATTCTGGTGATGAGTACAGAATCGAAGACTGTTGGTTCCAAGGAATATTAGTATCGGAAAAAACTAAAAATGCATTCGAACCATTCAACAGAAAACCTGATTGGTTCAACAACGACTTCCCTTCAAATAAACTGTCAGAAACTATTTCTCTCAGATTGGTTTGAAATAGTTTGACAAAGGATCACATGATCAGTATATTTGAGGACCTTGACTGGTGGGATTGAGGGTAAGTCACTGATGAAAGTCGAAAGGAATGGGTGTTGTAGGGAGAAAGCACAGCACCCTGAACGATTCCAGAGTTATTCACTAACTGTTTTGAAGTAGTGTCGTTTGCTTTCGTTCTTTAAATCCTTCCTGTGAATTAGTCTTTCAACCATGACAATAAATTGGTCGAGCAACCGAATGACTGTGACTTTCGGAGGAGAAACTGTAAAACGGAATCAAAATGAAAGAATAATCCGGGAAAACACAAAGAACGGAATTTCGGGAATCATCTAAACATTTGCAAAGAAAGTGCATCATTGAAGAGACAGCATCCAAAGCGCATCTATTTGGCTTATACGCAAAATGACGAGGGTCGTTGAGAACAATCTACCGGGTATGGAAACAGGAGATCCTTCGAAGGATAAATGAATGCGGCATTAAGGCTGTCCACGTCAATAGTTTTGTTTGTTCTGTCCGCAAAGCAATCTGATCCCTTGCCATAACCGTCTTTCAACTCCAGCTCCCGGAACTTTGCGAATGAAGCATTCAGTCTTCCAAGCTCTGCCCTGAGTTCCAGTGTAAGCTGTTTGACATTAGCTTATTTAGTGCACATCTTCAGCGCTTGTTCGTTTCATCCTAAAAGAGCCCTCAGTCTTGGGGAGCAAACTCTGTCTGCGTGAATGAAAATTGTTTCTATAGAAAAGCAGAAATTGAAGATCACATTAGCTGTTATTGTAAAATGTTGAACAGAACAGAGAGATTGTTAAATGGAAAACTACGATATGATGGATATGATGGCAAGAGATTGCTTGAGAAGAAGGAGTCTGTCGGATGAAAGATTCCTAATTATGTTCATTTGTTTTGTTTGAATAAAAGCAGGGTATGCCAACTGGGAGTAAACTTTTGGTCTAAGAATTAGCAGACTAGTGTAGATTGACGCCCTCAGTTTGAGAGAGAGAAAAATTTTTAGGATGGTTCGTGATGATCCTATCCAATTAAAGCATCTCTGGCAGGTGTTAAATAGAGAGATCTGATAGACCGAAAGAAAGTAAAGGTTAGGTTGATCCATTGATTCAAATCACTAANACAAGTAGATTAACTTATCCTCAACTAGGGGAGCAGCGAAACAAATAAATCCACTATGGAAGAAGCTGATTTTGATTTGTGAGCAGAACGGGGTAATGAATAGATTGTTGTTGCTCCGATAATGCGAAGACCTAGGTCCACACTTAGATACTTAGACAACTAATACCATAAGAGGAGAAAGCAAACAACTTGAGATATCTGTGGCGCCGTCACGAAATCCGGCTGTCTGTTAAGGGTCCAGTGTACACGGTGGCAGTTCTGCTATATGGAGCAGAAAATTGGCCATTAAGAAAACAGGATAAAGAGACTGTCGGTGTTTGAACACCACTATCTATACAGCATTACACAAATCTGGTGGAGCAGTCAGACAAGCAATGCTGAGGTTAGGCGCAGAGTTTTATGTATTCGTGGTCGCCTAATGGAG